CAGATAGCTTCACTGATGAGTTCTACCAAACATTCAGGGAAGAGCTGTCACCAATTCTACTCAAATTATTCCAGAATATAGAAGAGGATGGAAAATGTCCTAATATATTTTATGAAGCAAGCATAACCCTCATACCAAAACCAGGGAAGAACATCACTAAGAAAGAAAAATTTAGACCAAAATCCCTCATGAACATAGATGCAAAAATTCTCAACAAGATCCTAGCCAACAGAATCCAAAAGCACATTAAAAAAAAAAAAAAAAATCATGACCAAGTGGGATTCATATCAGTAATGCGAGGATGGTACAACATTAGAAAAACAATCAACCATATAAATGATCCACCATATAAATAAGAAAAGACAAAAAGAACCACATGATCACATTGATTGATGCGGAAAAGGCATTTGAAAAAAATCCAATGTCTATTCCTGATAAAAACACTCAACAAAATTGGAATTGAAGGGAATTTGCTCAACATAATTAGAAGCATATATACAAAACCATTAAGGTCAGCGGTTCAAAACTACCAGCTGCTCCATGGGAGAAAGATGAGGCTTTCTACTCCCGTAAAGATTTACACCCTCGGAAACTCTATACAGGGTCTCTATGGGTCGGAACCGACTCAACAGTACTCAACAACAACAAAATACAAAACCAACATCCTATATTACTCTCAATGGAGAGAAACTTAAATCATTCCCTTGCAAACAGGAACCAGACAAGTATGCCCTTTGTCACTACTCCTATTCAATATTGTGCTGGAAGTCTTAGCCAGAGCTATATGGCAAGAGAGGGAAATTAAAGGCATCCAAATTGCCAAAGAGGAAGTAAAACTCTCTCTAGTTGCAAACGATATGATCCTATACATAGAAAACCCCAAGGAATTAGTAAAAAAGGCTACTAGACCTCATTGGAAGATTCAGCAAAGTGGCAGGGTATAAGATCAACATACAAAAATCAGTTTAGTTCCTCTATAGTAACAATGAGAGTGTTGAAAAGGACATTAGGTAAGCAATGCCATTTACAATAGCCACCCAAAGGATGAAATATCTAGGAATGACTGTACTCTACTACAAGAAACTAATAGAGACTTGCAAAACTGGAAGGATATACCATTCTCCTGAATAGGAAGACTTAACATTGTAAAAATGCCAATACTGCCCAAAGCAATCTACACATACAATGCAATCCCAATCCAGATTCCAACGACATTCTTCAAAGAGATGGAAAAAAAACAATTATAAAATTTATATGGAAAGGAAAGAGACCCAGGACAAGCAAAGTACTGCTTAAGAGAAGAATACGGTTGGAAACATCTCACTCCCCGACTTCAAAATTTGTAACACGACTACAGTGGTCAAAACAGCCTGGTACTGGTACAATGACAGATATATTGATCAATGGAAAAGAATCAAGAATCCAGAAATTAACCCATCCACATACAGCCAACTGTTTTTAAACAAAGGGCCTAAGTATATTGCATGGGGAGGAGATAGTCTCTTCAACAGATGGTACTGACAGAACTGGAAAGGGATATGCAAAAGATTGAAACAAGACCTTTACCTCATGCCTTATGCAAAAACCAACTCAGCATGGATTAAAAACCTAAATGTGATGTCCAAAATTATGAAGGTCTTCAATGAAAAAATAGGGACAAATGTGAGGGTTCTAATTCAGGCTACACACAGACTACCAAACATTTTGAAAAGTACACAAACAAAAGTAGACAAAATAGATGATTGGGACACACAAAAATTAAAAACTTATGTGCATCTAAAGATTTCACCAAAATAGTAAAAAGGGATCCCACAGAATAGGAAAAAATCTTTTGTAATGATACATCAGATAAGGGACTGCTTTCTAAATATATAGGAAACTACAACACCTCTACAAGAAAAAAACAACCCAAGGAGTAGGTATGAGGTAGCCAACAAACATAAGAAATGTTCATGATCACTAGCCATAGGAGAAATGCAAATCAAAACAACAATGAGATATCATCTCATACCAGCAATAACAACAAAGTTCAAAAAAGTAGAGGACAATAAATGCTGGCGAGGATGCGGAGAGACTGGGATACTTCTACATTGCTGTTGGAATGGTCCAACCATTCAAGAAAACAATATGGTGATTCCTCAGAAAGTTGGAAATAGAAATACCTTATGATTCAGCAATTCCTCTACTTGGTATATATCCACAAGAAATATGAACCATAACACAAGTAGATATATGCACACCAATGTTCACAGCAGCACATTTACAATAGCAAAAAAAGATGGAGACAGCTTAAGTGCCCATCAATATAAGAATGGATGAACAAACTTTGGTACATACACACAATGGAATATTATGCTACCTTGAAGGATAAAAAGGAAGCTGCAAGCCACCGAATAACATAGATGAACCTTGAGGACATTATGCTAAGTGAAATTAGTCAGTTACTAAAGGAGAAATACTACATAGGACTATTATTGTGAAAGATTAAGAAAAAGTATTCACACTAAAAGGGGGGAAATTATTTGTTAGTTACCGCGGTGTATGGGGTGGGGTGAGGGAATGGAGGGGAAGGTGGATCACATGGTAGAGAATAGACACAGGATAGCTTGGAACCTGGGAGTGGGGGTGGGGGACAATACACAAGAAGGGAGAGGGGAGTGGAAGAACGAGGCAGATGGGAGAACAATTAGGCAGGTTTGCACGGACTAAGTGGGACAGAGGTTAATAATGATGTATGCACAATCTTGGAACAACAGGGCTCTGGGATACAGAGATTGAGGCATGGTTTGAATGTGTAAAAGAGGGGAAATAATGTTAAAATGCTTGGCTGTCATTTGAATCTTGGTTTCCCTTGAAACCAAGACACTTGACGGGGAGAGAAAGGAATAGCCAGAAACATCACAATAGAAAGCTCTTCAGTTCGTCTTCAGCCTATAACATATTGGAAAATCTAAAATGGGGCTAGAACTTGCCCAGTGAAGGAGGCTTCCTGCAGAGCATTTGTACTGCATAAGACCATAGGTAGAATCCTGATCCCCATCCAGAATCTTCTTAAGTGGGAAATATCCACTTGAAAGGACAAGCAGAACAGCTTGTTGCATCTAGAAGAACAGCAGATACTTCTTGAAATAAAGAACATCAGGAATAATCAAAAACAATAATGGCAGTCTGATTGACTACTACAAGAACAAGCAAGTTGTTCACCCAGGAGCCATCAAGGTAAGTGGTCAGGTCCCCCCAGGGCAAACCCCTTCCAAGACTGAGAATCAAGGGGAATACATAAGCAGGCATGTGGTCTGTCTGGTGACCACGTTGGTTACCAATAAGTGGAAGTGGGAGAAAAATAGCAATGAAGTTGTGAGCTAAGTCCGACCACATTCAATAGATTCCTGTCAACCCGGGTTGAAACTTCTTGGCCAGCAATCTGGCAAGACTTAGGGACTCCTGGGCCCAGATTCAGGGACATGGCCACAGAGGACTAGAGTGGAGAGTGAAGCGTCCAGCTGATATGAAGTAAAAGGAGATGCACATGAACACCCATATTTGCAGATGTTATCCACTTGACCTGGCTTCAATGGCTGGACGACCAGAACTTAACTAGAAGAAGAAAGAAGAGGAAAAAAAAGAGTAATCCACTACAATTTGATGAATTTGACCTATATTTATGAAGGTATGACCTATATTTATGGAGGGCATGAATTTTACAGCAAGGATCATTCCCAGCCCCTTGGTACACAGGGCTGCCAGGGATGGGCAACTTAGACATTGGATATCCCAAAATAGTGGGGCTAAAAGGCATAAAGTGATTATACCCTTTGGTTGTCTGATGCATGCATGGAGGGGATTGTAATCATTACAATGAAACAAAATACAATAGGATGAATATAAAGCTGTAAACTATCACTTAATTCACAATAAAAGCTGAAAAAGAAACTACATTCTCTAATCAAAGGGAACAGAACTTTGGCTTAATTTAGACATGATTTAGACATATTAGTGACCAGATGGAAACATTTTAATTACAAAGCCCTTGAACTCATTTTCTATGCCTTGCCTTGGAGTCCTGGTGTGGCACTGCAAGATAATGCATTGAACCGCAAGGTCAGTGGTTGAAACTCAGTGCAGAAACCCTAAACGGGGTCATCATGAGTTGGAACTGACTCATCAGCACTTAACAACAACAATGCCTTGCTTCAGTCATGTATTTACTAATAAAGATTATGAGTTACTGCTTTACTATGAAATTGTTTGGGTTGTGCATCACATAAACAATTGCTTTCAATGCCACAGAACTTCAACATGGTAACTATGGTTATTGAACTTCCTCTTTACTGTATTGGAATAATTTCCAGCAAAGTCATTAACATAAACATGTAAATAAAAAATGTTTAGCTCCAGTGCTTGGACCCTTGAGGGCTTCAGAGATCAAGGAACATGAATCAATAGATCATGGAAAATTTTTTGTGTATGAATATTGTTTTCTGTGAAGATAATTTTCAGCTTTTATAAGCGGGTGGCTGTTACCTAATCTTACCCATTAGTATCCAACAGTCTACCACTGGTGGGTCATTCAAGTTAATCATTTCTTTTCTTTAAGATCTTTTTTCAAAGTGAAACTTACTCCAGAAGACACAACACATTTGCTCCCTGAAATTCCTATGAAGTAATCATTTTATTTAACTGAATTATTATAATAATCTTTTGATATATATATATACAAACATACATATATGTGCTTCAAAAAGTTTGTGGGAAAATTTCATTATCTTTTCATTTAATTTTTCCCATTAATTTTTTTAAGCCCCCTCAAGTGTATATGTGTGTAAAATCTTGATTTTAATGATGAAGAAAATAACACCTAGGTTAAATAACTTCCAGAAAGTTGTGTACACATGTCATAATTAGCAGAGCCACTATTCAAACCTAGCCTATGACTCCTTTGCTCCCTTTTAGCTCTAAATGTATGACACGAAGCTCCACACAATTAAGCATGTGCTTACTTTAATCAGGCGCAGTATTTCAGGGCAGTCTCGGGCTTCTGCTGGTCTTATTCTGAAAGAATTTCTGACTAGTTGCCTCATGCTTGCTTGACTCATGCCTGGTTGATGTGTGTCCGGTAGGCTTGTGCATCGTTGTTTTATACCTGACAAGTTTATACCAGTTTGACTTTTGCTTGGTTGATTTATGCATGATTGGCTAGTGCCCATTTGGTTCATGCCTACTTGACTCTTACATGATTGGCTCCTGGGTAATTGGTTCATACCAGATGAGCTCATACTGGGTTGGCTTATGCCTGGCTGACTCATGCTTTGTTGGGTTATTCCTGGATGGTTCATATCAGTTAGGCTTCTGCTTATGCTTTGTTGACTTGTGTCCAGTTGACGGGGGCCTGGTTGGTTCATACCAGGTAGTGCCTGACTGACTCATGCCTGGTTGGCTTATGCTTCGTTGGCTCTTGTCTAGTTGGTTTATATCAGTTAGACTTGTGCTTGGTTTGCTCATGCCTGGTTGGCTTATGCTCAGTTGGGTTGTGCCTGGTTGGTACATACTAGTTAGGTACGTGCTCATGCTTGTTTGGCTTATACCTTCTTGACTTGTGTCTGATTGACTGGGGCCTGGTTGGTTCATACTAGGTAGGCTGGTGCCTGATTGGCTCATGTCTTCTTGGCTTGTGCCTAGTTGGTTCATGCTAGTTAAGCTTGTACCTGGTTGACTTGTGCCCAGTTGTCTTATGCATGGTTGTTTCATACTAGTTAGTTGTATGCTTATGCCTGGTTGGCGCATGCCTAGTTGACTTGTGCCATATTGGCTTGTGCCTGGTTGTTTCTTATCATGTAGGTTTTTATATGGTTGATTTATACCTGGTTGACTCATGTTTTGCTTTCTCATGCCTGGTTGGTTTATACCTGTTAGGCTTGTGCTTGGTTGACTCATTTCTGGTTGGTTCATTTCATGCCTTGTTGACTCACGTCTGGTTGGTTCGTTACAGGCAGGCTCCTACTTGGTTGGTTGGTGCTCGATTGGTTCATGTTTGGTTGATTGCGTCTGATTGTCTGATGACTAGTTGGTTTATGACTGATTGGCCAAGGACTGACTAGGAGAGGACTGGTTTGCTGATAATGAGTTGGCAAAGGACTGGTTGGCTGATGATTTAAGTGTCTAGATTAGAACAGCCCTTAATTAGAGTGCTGTGATGTGAGGTTGTCTGCTCTTTCCAGGTTTTCTCAAACTGATTTTAACTCCACTGGTATGCTTCCTTCAAGGTGAGAATGGGAGATAAAATGGTTACCGGAAGAAGATTATTGATGCCTGCGATTTGTTGACCTCACCAGCGATCACAGCTGTAAGCTTGACTGGGTTTCAGGTTGTCATCTGGCCTTTAACTGCCAACAGGCCGTGAGTGAAGAAAAGAAGAAAACGACCCTGTGGGAGTATTATCGCACATCCCCTTACTCAGTGGTTGCGTCATAGTGATGAAGTCACAATGCCCCCGAATCTATTCGCCTACCTGCTCCCCCATATGGTGAGGGAGGGGCGAGACAGGGAAGGCTTGGTCACAACTTTATTTTCTCCTCTCAAGAATTAAAGACAGTAAAGAAAGAAACTGGAGGGAATTTAAGTCTATGATCCTGCTGTTTTAAGGAACCAATTCAAAGACACATGTTCCAAACCTGGCCCTTCCCAGTGTCCTAGTCTTCAATTATACACATCCTGTTAGTTTTTCCGGGTGTGGCGCAGTGGGTTAATGCACTGCACTGCAAAGTCAGTTTGAACCGCAGGGTCTGTGGTTCCCACTGGAGACAAATGAGGCTTTCTGCTCCAGCCTTGGAAACCCTATACAGGGCCACTATGAGTCGGAACCGACTCCATGGCACATAACCACCAACCTCTATTTCTTAGGAGTCCTGGGTGTGGCGCTTGTAAGATAAGCACTAGACCGCAATGTCGATTTGAACTTAGCAGTTCAAAGCCTCGGAAACCCTTTACAGGGTCACGGAATTGGAACCGACTCCACGGCCCTTAACAGTAATTTCTTATTTCCTAGTTCTACCCATACTTCCACATAACACCCCTTTTCCAAGTAGAAACTAAAATGCTTTGAAGAGTCCCAGTGTAGAAATTATTTATTTAAAAATAAGAATAATTACAGTTGCCATTTATTTAATTCTTTTATAGCCTAGTCTCGGAGGGAAGCACTTCGCATATATTATCATATTTAATACACACAGCATCCTTATTATCCCCAATTCTAAGGAAACTGGCTCAAAAAATTTGGTAACCTGTGCAAGGCCTTATTAAATCGTTCAAAGGGAACCTGAATTCAGACCTAGGTCTTTACAACTCACCTCAATTTCCAGACTGTTTGCCATCACAGTATCCTGCCTCTTGCACATATTTTGTTCATTTTCCATAACTTTATCTGTGTGTTCAGCATATTGCCCATTCCCTGCCCCTGATTCCTTTACCCTCCCAACCCCATCCTCTCACTCGGGGCAGAATTCATTCTCACATCAATTTCCTCTGCTAGGTTACATCCTCAACAAAGTATATTATGTAAGTCATACTACTAACATTGTTTTAGATGGAGTGCTTATTTGTGTGTGTGTTGCATGTGTGTATGTGTTTAGTACATTCAAAAACTTGCTTGAAGTTGTTAAAAAAAAAAAAAAAACAACAAACAGCAAAACAACTCACACAGCTAAGGACTTGACATTTGCATGATTTCATTTAATTCTCAAAGCAACCCTGTGAGATATGTACGGTTGTTCCTCATTTTATCAATTAAGAAAAACTGGAATTAGATAACTAATTTGTCTAAATCTACTAAATGCCAGAATGAGAAGAGAGTCCAAGACCAATCTTATAGACATCATTCTTTGAAATATGCTGGTTATAAATGGAACATAGCCCAGAGTCAAACTAAGTCATATCACAGAACTATGCCAACCCCAACACAAATCAGATGTAGGCATATTGCTCATGTTGGTACACCTATAATAACAATAATGAGAGCTAAGATTTAATGATTCCTGTGATGGCAGGCATAAGTCTAAGCACTTATATTAATCAATTTAATCCTCACGACAACTCAATGTGGTAGGTCATGCTATAATCCCTATTTTACAGATATAAAACCAAACGGCCACCACTCGTCTATCTGTCGTGCTGTGGTAGCTTGAGTTACTGTGATTCTGAGAGCTATGCCACCAGTATTTTGAATAACCAGCAGAGTAACCCATGGTGGACAGGTTTCAGATGAGCTTCCAGACAAAGACAGACTAGGAAGAAAGAGTGATGAACTACTTCCGAATCGCTAGTCACTGAAAACTCTATGAATAGCAGAGAAACACTGTCAGATACAGGACCAGAAAATGAGCCCCTCAGGTTGGAATCCACTCAGAATGCGACTGGG